GAAGGAAAATTGGGAAAGTGACAAAGGTGAGATTTGATTCTAGAGGAGGAGGCGCTAACAAAAGCTGCAAAGCAAGGGTCCTCTTGAATCTTTCCAGCCCGTTAAAGACAGGAACAATTGTAGATCTAGAGTACAAAAAGATTTGGGTGGATTATAGATATGAAAGACTCCTTCACTTTTGCTATTCCTGCGGTAGGGCATTATGCCTCCTATTGCAAAGAAATTCCTTTTGAGGAGTCAGGGCTCAACGAAAACGCTAGGGGCAAATTTGGGCAATGGTTGAGAGCAGAAGTACGAGAACCTAGCCCTTTTTGGAAGATCTTCTACGGGAAAGACATCCCTGTCCACGAGGAGGTGGTCACAATCCCGAAGACGCCTAGGGAAATCACCACAGAGATGGATTCACCAAGTTCGAAGGGCAAGGCTGTTGTAGGGATGATTGAAAACAAGCTTCAGGATGAGAGGCCGAGAAAGAGGAACTCACAAGCAGAAAAGTCAAGGACAAATCAGCCAGGATTCGAAAAGTATGACACCCAAATTATCCCTTTTGAACCGGCATGTAAGGACGGACACGCGAAACCTTCAAGGAAGGAGAAGATAAGCTTGAAACCCTTCAAGAAAGTAGTTGCGGTAAGGAAACAGAAAAAAATCAACCCTCTTGGACTACTTGAGATTCTCAGTCCCTCCATTAACGAGGAGGCGCTCCTTGATGCTCCGATATATTTGGCCGAAGGAAGAAATGAATGGGCTTTGGTGGCTAGCCCTAATAAGCCACTGGGGATTATATGAAACTTTTGAGCTGGAACTGTCAAGGGCAGGGCAATCTCTTGACAATCCAGCACCTCATAGCCTTAATGGCTCAAGAAAGGCCCGACTTAGTCTTCTTGATGGAAACTAAGAACAAGAGTGCAGTAGTTGACAGAGTGAGGAGGTGTATGCAATTCCAAAATATGGAGATAATAGACCCCATAGGCATCGCGGGGGGGCTGGCTTTAATGTGGAATGACGAGGTGACAGTGATGGTGGAAGACAGATCCAGAGAATTTATTGACATTATGTGTAGGGATCAAGGTAGCGACGATCTTATGCACATAACGTTCCTGTATGCCCCCACAAAATTTCAGGATAGGCTTCGGCTGTAGCACCACCTACAAGTGATAAATGCAGAGGGAAGAATAGCATTGGTGCCAAAAGTTGTGTACGGAGCTCACTTTGGTGCCAAAAGTTTCATTTGGATCACTTAAGTGCCAAAAGTTTACGCCGACGATCACTTAAGTGCCAAATCTGAGAAAAAACGATTACTTAAGTGCCAACGGTGAGAAATTCCGACCAAATTTAATACGTGACTTTTATATTTAAATTTTAATAACACGTGGCATTTCCATGTGTATAATTCAATTTTTTAAATTTTTTTCTGATTTTTTTTCTTTCTTTTCTTTTTTCTTTTTTCTTTTTTCTTTTTTCTTTTCTTTTTCTTCTACCATGGCCGATGGCCGGAGGCCAGCCACCGGCCATGGCCGGCCTCGCCGAGCGTCGCCTTCCTCCGGGCGAGGGCCGGAGAGGCCGCCGTGGCCTCGGCGAGGGCCGGCCTCGCCCAAAGGAAGGCGACGCCTCGGCGAGGCAGTCGTGGCCTCGGTGAGGGCCGGCCTCGCCGGATCTGGCGAGGCAAGCCCTCGCCGAGGCGTCGCCTTCCTCAGGACGAGGGCCGGCGAGGCCACCGTGGCCTCGGCGAGGCCACCGTGGCCTCGGCGAGGCCAGCCCTCAACGAGGCCACGGCGGCCTCGCCGGCCCTCACCCGGAGGAAGGCGACGCCCGGTGGCCGGACGCCGGCCATCGGAAATAAGAAGAAAGACAAGAAAAAAAAGAAAAGAAAGGAAAAAAGAAAGAAAAGGAAAAAAAAGAAAAGAAATGCCACATCAGCTCCCGGCGAGCCACATCAGCCTCTGGCGAGCCACATCAGCTTGAGAAATTAATAAAAAAAATGCCACATCGGATTTCAGGCGAAGTGGCACTGAAGTGATCGTTTTTCAAAATTTTTGGCACTTAAATGATCCAAATGAAACTTTTGGCACCAAAGTGAGCTCCGTACACAACTTTTGGCACCAATGCTGTTCTTCCCCCGATAAATGCAGCTAACCATCTACCTTGGATATGTGCAGGGGACTTCAATGAAATCTTGTACCACTGGGAAAAGATGGGTGGGAGTTGGGCGGAGCACTACAGGCTGGTCGCATTCCAAGAATGTCTAAACAAATGCTCACTCATGGACATAGAAAGTAAGGGCTGTGCATTCACGTAGGCTAACAATAGGGATGGAAAAGCTCTAGTGCGGAAGAGGCTTAATAGAATCCTTTGCAATATTAATTGGAGAGTACGATTCCCAAATGCGGAAGCTTACGCCTTACCCACAATTGGCTCAGACCATAGCCCAATTCTCCTGTCACTCTACCCAGGGAGGGCTAAAAGGAAAAAGAAATTCAAGTTTGAGGCATTTTGGCTTGAGGATGCTGAGTGTACGAAGCTGGTGAGGGAAACATGGGGTGGCCCAGAAGATAATCCTGCAGCCTTTGGTTGCAAATTGTAAAAAACCACCAAGGTTTTGAACTCGTGGAGCAATCAGAAATTCTCCAATGCCTCCAACCAGATCGAGATATTAAAAAGAAGAATAACGACCCTCACAAACATAAGAAATGGCGACAACAGCAAAAAAGAACTGCAGCAGCTCAAAAAATAAATTCAGAATCTGTGGAAGCAGGAAGAGCTATATTGGGAGATGAGATCAAGGATTAATTGGATCAAATGTGGAGACAAAAACACAAAATACTTCCATGCTGCAACGGTTCAACGAAGACAAAGGAACAAAATCTCAATGTTGAAAGTTGACGACATATGGTGCCGAGATCCCACAAGGCTGAAGCAACAAATTGGCAGTTTTAATGATTCTCTGTATGTATCAGTGGGGACAAGAAACTTCAACCCTATACTAGACCAGTGTTCGTTCCAAGTTCCAGAGGGGATGAATGAGGCGTTAATGGCACCAGTGACCATAGATGAAGTAAAGAAGGCGACTTTTCAGCAAGGTGTAACAAAGGCCCCAGGCCCTGACGGGATGAATGGCCAGTTTTATCAGCATCATTGGGAGATCCTACGACACGATTTACACAGGCTAGTAAGCACCTTCTTCCATTCAGGCAAGATGGATCCGGAACTCAACAAAACACACATAGTGCTCATTCCTAAAGTTTCCAACCCAGAAACTATCTCACAATTCAGACCCATTAGCCTGTGTAACTTCAGCTACAAAATCATATCAAAGGTGATGGCGAACCGCATCAAGCCATGGCTCCCAAAAATTATTGCTAAAGAATAGAGCGCTTTTGTTAGTGGGAGGCTTATTCAAGATAACATACTTATCGTCCAGGAGATCCTACATCAACTGAGAATCAGGGAAAGAAAACGGAAGTTCCAGGCTATCTTAAAGCTGGATATGCAAAAAGCATACGATAGAATGGAGTGGGACTTTCTTTGCGTGAGCATGGTGAAAATGGGTTTTTGTGAGGAATGGGTATCTTTGGTGAAACAGTGTATCTCTATGGTCACATTCAGTGTCAAGGTAAATGGGAAGCCTTTAAAGTACTTCCATCCATCAAGGGGAATCAGACAAGGAGACCCACTATCTCATTACTTATTTATAATAATGGCCAAATTGCTTTCTTCCCTAATATCAAAGGCCGTCGAGGATGGGACTCTGAAGGGGATCAAACTAAACAGGAACTGTTCAACCTTGTCACATCTACTATTTGCTGACGAGGCCATATTTTTCATTGACGGAACTATTGGTGAATGTCAGAATCTAGCAAACATCCTGAATCAATATTGCTTTGCATCGGGACAAGCTATCAACCTGAACAAATCGGGTATATTCTTTAGTGCGGGCTGTCCTCAAAGCCTTAAAAACAATCTTGCGGTTGAACTGAGAGTACCAATAATGGATAAAACCGGGAAATACCTCGACATTCCATATGATTGGGGAGATACTAAAAAATAGATGTTTGCGTGGATATTAGCCAGGGTAAATATGAAGTTGGAGAGATGGAAGGAAAAGCTGCTATCAAAGGCGGAGAAGGACATTTTACTCAAAATAGTGGTACAAGCTATTCCACAATACGCTATGTCTATCTTCAAAATCCCAATTTCAGTTTGCAAAGCCATTGAGCAGAAAATCACATCATTTTGGTGGAAACAGAACTCATCCAAATCAGGTATACACTGGAAAAAGTGGGACATCCTCAAAGAAAGGAAAATAGATGGCGGCTTGGGATTCAAGGACCTAGTCACCTTCAACAAAGCCATGCTAGGAAAGCAAGCATGGAGACTTGCTCAAGAACCAACAGCTTTATGGAGCCAGCTACTTCAAGGAATTTATTTCCCAAATTGAAGCTTATGGAAAGCTAGAAAGGGCTCCCGACCGTCGTGGGGGTGGCAAAGTTTGATAATAGGCAGGGACGCCATAAGCTCGGATATTAAATGGTCAGTGGGGAATGGAGATAGTATCAATATAAGAGAGGATCAATGGATGGATCAGAAACTGATTGGTGGCCCAGCAAATAGGGATGACCCGCAAATAGTCGCAGATTTAATCGATCAGAGGACAAGAACATGGAAGGAAAACCAGCTAAGAAGGTTGTTTCAGGAGGAGGTTGTCAGCGAAATCCTAACCACACGCATTCAGCCAAGTCCGGAAAGCGATAAACAAATATGGACCAGCAATACAACGGGGGAATACACGGTCAGACATGGATATTCCAAAATTCGAGCATCTATACCCAAGCAAAACACAGCACAAGCATCATCATCATATCAGCAGCCCCGTTCTCTATGGTTTAAAATATGGAAATTAAACACCGAACTAAAAATCCGATTCTTCTTGTGGGGTGTGTGCCGGAATGCTCTACCTACAAAGGAGAATTTATACAAAAGGAAGGTAATTACTGATCCGCTTTGCCCAATTTGCCAGCAAGCTCCAGAAACGATGGAGCACACCTTCATCTTGTGCGATTGGATCAAGCATATTTGGTCTGATCAAAGAATACAGATGGATGTTTCTCCGACAAACTTGACAAGAATGGATAAGTGGTTAGATGAAGCACTTACTGGCGGTTTCTCGGCTCTCCAAGAACTGCTCGCTGGTATCCTTTGGCAAATCTGGAAGGCCAGAAATGCCCAGGTGTTCCAACAGGTTTCCCCAAAATCGGGTGTTATCGTTGATGAAGCTATCAATCTAAGCAGATTCTACCGCTTGCAAAACCCAACCGAACGCAATACCTGGCTGAAGAAGCAACCTTCAAAAAGCTGGACACCACCAGATACAGGGCAGCGGAAATTCAACGTTGATGGTTCTTGGATCAAAGGCAAACTAGAGGGATCAGTGAGTGGTGTTTGTAGAGATTCCAGAGGTTTGATTATAACAGGGTTTGCTAAAGGGGTGGTTGCTAGCTCTCCTCTGGAAGTCGAAGGTACTGCGGTGAAGGAAGCCATCCTCTGTCTGCGTGAATTGGCCGAAAAGGAAGACAGTCTGGCAGAGCATGTGACAATTTTGACCGACAGTCCAGCCACTGTTAGTTTTACAGAACATCCGCCCCTCAGCCCATGGGCTTTGAGAAGACTTTTTGAGGAATGTAATGAACTACTCACCCAAACGCGAGGGATCTCCCTGGCCCACTGTCCACGAGAAACCAATTACGTTGCAGACTGGATCGCAAAGACCCATCGTAAAGGGACTCTTCTCCAATACTGGTTGTATAAACCCTCACAATCTCTTTGGGATTTATTATGTACTGACGCTAGTCTACTTCACTCTTGTAGTCCGACTTTAAATGAATGATATGGTATAAGCATTTCGACCCAAAAAAAAAAAAATGCTGTCACTGAACCAACTGCGCTGGCATGCAGGTGAGTGCTTAACGGGTTTGAGCGCTACATCGTCAAACACACTTATCCTACAGTAAAACCGAGTAGCAGATGGCCTGGCAAATTTGGGGAGGACTTCAAGATCAAGACATTTTATTTCTTCAGCAACCAGCTACCGATCTTCTTAATCATGTCTAAGAGGACCTTATCAGACCTCATGTTTCTAGGCGCGCTAAGTCAAAAAGCTAAAGTATAGCTGGTGGGTGCACCACCTGTAGAGGAAGTGATGAAGGGCTGTTGATTTGGACTGATCTCTGCGAGAAGCTGACATAGTCCATTGTGGCCGCGCACGTGAAGTTGAAATAATTGTGTTCGACGCGAGGAAGTGGTGGGGTTTACGAGCAAATGGACTGGGAATACCGACAATCTAGGAAGAGGAAAGGTTCAGTGCGCTGAGGAGACCCGGTCACATTGGACAGTTCATGTACAAAAAAGGAGCTTTTTCCTAGGTAAAGACAGAAAATGAGCCTTTTTTTTCATATTAAAATGGAAAATGGTAAGGTCTCCTGAATGGCAAGCAAAGACTTTTCTTTCACAGAAAAATGAAATGATAATAAATGTAATCTTACTCTTGAAAATTTTAGGGTTAATATAAAGAAAAATCTCAAATTGATACACTTGTAATAAATTTATTTCAAACTAATTTTTTGATTACAAAAAACCCAAAACCGGTACACGTATGATAAATTTACCCAAACTAATTTTTTTATCACTATAAATCTCAAATTTGTAGTGACAAATTTATCTTTTGTTAAATTAGATTAATATCACGAAAAATCACAAATTGATAAACCTGTGATACATAGAAGAGTAAAATCTCAAACCGGTACACTCGTCAGCTGTCACGTATCATCCAACTCAGTAATTTGAGGGTAAAATTTAACGAAACTAACGGAAGGTAAATGTGTCACAGGTGTACCAGTTTGGGGTTTTTCATGTTATTAACCCAAAATTTTATTGCCCTTCCAAAAATAAAAAAAATAAAAACTTAAATACTAAAACAAATTTCAAAAAAATTGAAAAATGTAAATTTGATTTCGGAGAAATATGTTAAGTTTTTTGACCATGACCCGACAACTCGCTAAGGAAACTCTATATATATAAGGTAATAAGAATCCCGAATTATATGCTTTGCATTTTTCTTCTCTCTCAAATTACTTAGTTGCTCATAGGAGGCCTTGACCCAATTTCTGTGTAATACATACACGGTTAAGATCAAGATAGAACAAAACTCAAATAAAAGCATGATGAGTGTTAAAGATAATTGGATACCTGTATATATCATTAACAGAGATATATGCACAATTTTAATAGTGTGAAAAATCAAAAAAGATTCGAAAAATCTTGGATATCTTTCTATTACCTTTAACAGTAAGCAAACCAAGATTCAGATTTTGTCCACGCTGGATGATACTGACATTATATTTTTGTCAAAATAATTGCAGGGACAACATCAACATCAAAGAATTTTCCTCCTCTTTCTAAATCTAAACGTCCAATCAGACTATACATGGTTGTAGTTTCACCTCATCACATCGAACTAATCAAACTTCAAACCCCAAGAATTTTCCGTGGATCCCAAAGCATGAAGCAACGCGAGTTCGTCCTCGTGCACGGCGTATGCCACGGCGCGTGGTGCTGGTTCCACGTCAAGCACCGGCTCGAGTCGGCCGGCCATCGCGTCACATCACTGAACCTCGCCGGCGCAGGCACCGACACAAGGTCCATCTACGACGTCCACTCATTTCGTGAGTACAACGAGCCGCTCTTGGAGTTCATGGCCTCGCTCGAGCCACCCGAGAAGGTGATCCTCGTGGGACACAGCTTGGGCGGCATGAGCTTGGCTCTCGCCGCCGACAAGTTCCCTGATAAGATCTTGGCCGCCGTTTTCCTGACGGCACTAATGCCGGACACCACGCACCAGCCGTCTCATGTGTTAAAACAGGTGACTTAATCAAGTTTCTCGTTCATTTTAGTTAAAGCTTTTTTCTCTATAACAAGCTTGCATATATTCGCACTCACAAATCTATGACCATGTAAAATTAGGTTTTGTGAGTAGTAACTAAGAATTAATCCCTTTTTGAGTAAAATATTATCCCTGATGGATCAAGATATACATATTCAATGGTACTTTATAAAATTGGAATTAATTGTTGGAAAAATTATTTTTGTCAGTAATTGCCCATGTTATTAGCATGTATTTTAAAAAATCAAAAGCATGAGGAAATATTTTCCTTACCTATTTCTATTATATAGAGGAAAGAAGGTTCTTAATTTCCATATAAACGCATCATCTATTACTTTATAAAACCTTTCGGTCTAATTCCCAAAAAAAAGCACTAATTTTAACTTGAGTGACAATTCCAATCGTAACTTTTTTTTTGTCTCATAAAAATCACCAACTTTCACTTAAATCTCAAATTTGGCCCGAACAATTTCACATCACAGAGGCAAGATTTGGGACTAAAATAAAAGTTTATACTTTTTATTGAGACAGAAAGAAGCTCGGGCCAGAATTTTCACTTAAGGTAAAGTTGGTTTTTTTTTTAAATAACCAAAACATTTCTTTTTTATAAAATTTTTTATGTTGTCAAACCACCTAAATAAATAAAAAGAGTAACTCTAATACAGGAGACTTTGGTGCGTACTAATTAATATGGACGGTTCCGAAATGACTTAACTTTAGGACCTAATAATATGAAATTTAAAGAGAGAATATCTCGTTTTTTCTCTAGATAATTTAATGGATTTGTAACTTTTGAGGAACCAAATTCGAAAATATTTTTGCTCGTTGTGACAATTTTTCAGTTTCGTTCGAGCATTCCGGAGAAAGAATGGCTGGACACTCAATTCAAAGCCTTTGGAAAGCCAGGAAAGATGTTGACTTCCTTCTTCTTTGGCCCCGAATTCTTGGCGGCTCGGCTGTATCAATTATCCCCCAAGGAGGTGCGCTTTACTCACCTTTTGCCCTATTCTAAAAATATTCATTTCATGTTATTTTGTAGAATTTTCTTCTGAAATTCTATATCTGTTATTAATCATTAAGTGGTGTCTATTTGTCTGGCGTGGCCACTTGGAGTATTTTCCAAGATTTATTTTTTCATTTATGATGCCTTCTCCAAAAATTTACTTCATTTTTTAAATAAAATGTAATTAATCTTTCAAATAGTGGGCTAATTGATGCTTAATAGAGTATCCATGATAAATATATATATGAATTGTCACTAACGATAAATTTACTTGCTCAAATTAATATTATATATGTGCCATGGCCTAGATTCTGATTGTATATTTTTTTTCTAGATGATTGATATACTGAATAAAAGTTAAGACAAAATATCCATCTTAACCAACATGCAGAATTGGGTCTAATACCCTAAAAACCTGCAAGGCTTCAACTATAAGTCGATTACCAATTTTACCCTACACTTTTTTTATCTAATAAAAAAACCTCTAACTTTAGGTCCAATCCCAATTCTACTCTAAACTTTTTGTCCCATAAAAAATCCCCAATTTTAGGTCATGTCCCAATTCTACCCTAAATTTTTTTTTTGTTTTATAAAAAGCCACCAACTTTTACTCAAGTCTCAAATCTGCTTCTGGTAACCCTCCGTACAAAATTTCTCTTGACAAACGAGAGATGGCCAACTCCCGAGCAAGTTGTTCAAGCATCCTAAGCCGAGTGTCTTGACGGCAAGCTCTCTGACCGTGAGAGAGTGAAGACTCCTAAACACAAGAAGATCCCTAAGCAAGATGGAAGGAAGACTCACTTAAGAGTAAGAGCAATTAAAGAAAGCTAACCCAAATTCAAATCCAATAAGATATCGTTTAGGCTGACATGAAAATTCATCTTCAAAAGATATTATCCTGGATGTGAAATTTGGGAAAAAAACTATAGCAATGACATGGAAATGCCACATCACTAAGGGCAATTTTGGATTGAGGGTTTACGGGGGCAGATATAAGAATTAAATACAAGTTAGTGATTTTTTATAGGACAAAAAAAAGTTTATGCCAAAATTGGGACTAGACTTAAAGTTGAGAGTTTTTTATGAGACAAAAAAAATTTATGGTAAAATTAAAACTAGACCAAAAGTTTCGGGTTTTTAGAGACGAAAATAAGTCTATAATAAAAATTGGGACTGAAATTAAAATTGGGGTGTTCTTTTAGGGAATTAGGCTTGCATAATTGATAGTTACATGACACGTCGATGTGTCGCCACTGATGTTTCAAGTGTCTTGATTCATTGCACGTGGATAAAAATCAAGGCATGTTTTCTTATCCACGTCGGTACATGACATGTCGCGGAAGTTACAGGCTATATCGCAAGCATCTTTCTTTTATTTTCCTTTTTATTTTTTTTAAATGTGATCATTATCATGAGAAGGATATGGAGCTTGCTAAGATCATGATGAGGCCGGGGTCGCTCTTCATAGAAGACCTGGCCACGGCGGACAAGTTCACCGGCGAAGGGTACGGCTCGATCGCGCGGGTGTACATCGTGTGCAAGCAGGACCTCGTGATCCCGGAGGAGTTCCAACGGCGGATGATGAAGAACGGCGGGGCCCAGCACGTGATGGAGATCGACGGTGCAGATCACATGCCCATGTTCTCGGAGCCCCAGAAGCTCTGCGATTGCCTCCTCGAAGTAGCGGCCAAGTATGCCTAATGTGCCGTTGATTTGCATTATGAGTCCTAAAACGGTGACGTTTCTGCAAGCTCCACGTGTTGGTTGAATGTGTTATTCGGCCTTCAATTAAGAACGCAATTATCAGCTTTAGATAAATTTGAGGTATCCCTTCAAGACACTATATTAAGTATATGATTATGTTTAATGATACTAAGATCATTGGTCGAGAGGATATTTTTATTTTCTAATTATTTTGAACGTCCTTTGCAATGTATGCAAGAAACGTCATGAATGCTAGATTCTCTTTTTTTTTCTTAATACACGCCAAAACTCCAAATTGATACACTAATAATAAATTTACCCCAAATTAATTTTTTAACCACGAAAAATCTCAAACTGGTACATCTATAACAAATTTACCCAAAACTAATTTTTTTATCACAAAAAACCCCAAACGGGTACATTTGTGACAAATTTACTATCTATTAAATTGGATTAATACCGCAAAAAATCATAAACCCCCCCTTTTTGGTATATCCAAATTTACCATCTATTAAACGGAGAGTAAAAACTCATATTGGTATATCCGTCAACTATCATGTGTCATACAACTCAAAAATTTGACAGTAAAATTTAACGAAAACTAACATAAGGTAACATTATCACAGGTATATCGGTTTAGAATTTTTTATAGTCAAAAAATTAATTTTGGATAAATTTGTCATGGGTGTATCAGTTTGGAGTTTTTCGTGATATTAATCCCCCCCCCTTTTTTTTTTGTCAGAACCGAATGCTAGATTGGCTACTTCTGATTTAAGTAACTCTCTATTTCTCCGATGGTGGCTCGGGTTTTACATGCATGACCATTGAAATGTTAGAGTTTCACTGAAATAGTCTTGTGGATGGAATATTATTCTTGAAAGTAATTAATCGGTTGGGCATCATGGCGACTATTAAAGCTCAAAATGGGAACAATGAACTTGGCAAGAGCTCTTAACGAGACATTGGTCTGCACCACAGAAATCGAATCAAGGAGTTTTGATTTTGTATACAGATTGACCCTTCGATGTTTAAGTCGTGTTTAGGGGAGACAGAGGGTAAACAACACGAGGGCAAAACACAAGTTACAAAGAGAAAAACACAAAAATGACACGACTCACTTAACCTCATATTTTCACACAAAATTGACACAAAATAATTTGTTTGCATCTTAATCTAATTATTTGACATATGGATTAAGACTTCATTTGATTTCTCATATAGAGAATTTCTTCTAGTCAATTTGATGATTAATTAGATTTTCACACTCCAAGATCGTTACCCTCCAAAAACTTAGTGTATTTAAGATACCAACAGCCAGTTCAGTCCCTATAAAAAGCACTACAAAAAAATGAGGATTTAGCCACGAAAATTAGCCACGAAAAATTATTCGTGGCTAATTTGCTACGGAATTTGTGACGAAAACAAAATTCGTGGCTAATTAGCGACGAAAAATTTTCCGTAGCTAATTTGTGACAGAATTTGCGACGAAAAAAAATTCGTGGCTAATTTGCGACGAAAAATTTTCCGTGGTTAATTTGCGACGGAATTAGCAACGAAAAACAAATTCGTCGCTAATTTTGCGACGAAAAATAAATTCGTCGCTAATTAGCCACGGATTTAGCCACGAAAATAAAAATAGTCGCGAAAGTGAAGAGAGAGTTTATTTTCGTGGCTAAATCCATGGCTAATTAGCCACGAAATAAATTTAGCCACGAATGTAAAAAAAGTAGGAAAAGTGAAGTGAAAGTTTATTTTCGTGGCTAAATCCGTGGCTAATTAGCCACGAATTTTGCCATGAATTTATTTCGCGGCTAATTAGCCACAGATTTAGCCACGAAATTAAAAATAGTGGCGAAACTGAAGAGAGAGTTTATTTTCGTGGCTAAATCCGTGGCAAATTAGCCACGAATTTTACCACGAATTTATTTCGTGGCTAATTAGCCACAGATTTAGCCACGAATGCAAAAAAAGTAGGAAAAGTGAAGCGAAAGTTTATTTTCGTGGCTAAATTCGTGGCTAATTAGCCACGAATTTAGCCACGAACGTAAAAAAAGTAGGAAAAGTGAAGTGAAAGTTTATTTTCGTGGCTAAATCCGTGGCTAGCCACGAATTTAGCCACGAACGTAAAAAAAGTAGGAAAAGTGAAGTGAAAGTTTATTTTCGTGGCTAAATCCGTGGCTAATTAGCCACGAATTTTGCCATGAATTTATTTCGTGGCTAATTAGCCACAGATTTAGCCACGAAAATAAAAATAGTGGCGAAACTGAAGAGAGAGTTTATTTTCGTGGCTAAATCCGTGGCAAATTAGCCATGAATTTTACCACGAATTTATTTCGTGGCTAATTAGCCACAGATTTAGCCACGAAAATAAAAATAGTGGCGAAACTGAAGAGAGTTTATTTTCGCGGCTAAATCCGTGGCTAATTAGCCACGAATTTTGCCACGAATTTATTTCGTGGCTAATTAGCCATAGATTTAGCCACGAATGTAAGAAAAGTAGGAAAAGTGAAGCGAAAGTTTATTTTCATGGCTAATTAGCCACTAATTTAGCCACGAACGTAAAAAAAGTAGGAAAAGTGAAGCGAAAGTTTATTTTCGTGGCTAATTAGCCACGAATTGTGCCACGAATTTATTTCGTGGATAATTAGCTACAGATTTAGCCACGAATATAAAAAAAATCAGGAAAAGTGAGTTAAAATTTATTTTCGTGGCTAAATCCGTGGCTAATTAGCTACGGATTTAGCCACGAATTTTATTCCGTGGCGAATTTTGCAACGAACACAGAAGTTCGTCGCTAAATTCTTTTATCTGCCCGCCCTCACCCCGATTCTCTCTCTCTCTCGGATCCCCCTCGCTGTTCTCCCTCCCTCTCCCACACCCCCAAGCCTCTCAAGTCGCCCTGATCTACAAAATCCAACCTCTAATTTGCTTGCGTCTTCGGCGAATTTGATGCCTCATCGTCGTGAAATCGCAGGTCCGATCCCGAATCCGGCGCTGCTTCTTGCGGCCTCCGGCGATCGCCGCACGCGTCTAGGGTTTTCCTGACTCCAAACCCGATTGATTCGGCGGCGCTTCCGACGATGGATGGCAACAATAGTCCCCTCCCCCTTCTCCCTTTGTTCTCGCCTCTCGCCGGTGGTTTCCGCCCCCTCGGAGCTCGGAATCAGTGGTTTTCCGGTTCGTTATCTCGAGTTTCTTCCAGCGGTTCGCCTGAATTCGGCGAGGTGCGATCGAGATTCGCCATGGCTAGCTCCGGCGATGGAGAGAACGGCGAGAACCGCCGGACGCGACTGGACCGCAACGAGCCCGGCGATCTGTCGTCGATCGACGCGTCCTCGGTGGAGTCCGGGCCGAGCTCGAGGGTCTCGAGGGGGGCAGCCGAGGAGATTGGGATGGCGGAGAGGCTGACAGACGTCTTCATCGGGGGAGGCGACGGAGATCTGTTGATGCAGCGGAGCGATCGGGAGGATAGGGTTCTGCAGTGGCTGCAGGTGCTCGATATGCAAGTGGTTGGGGCCTGCCGCGCGGATGAGAGATTGAAGCCGTTGTTGAAGTCGAGTGAGTCGAGCAGCGCGGCTGCGGATCGGTTGTTGGCTCACCTCAGTCAGGTACTTATTGTTTCGATCCGGATTAAGTGTCTATCTGGCTCGAAGCGTTAGGGTTTTTTTTGCTTATTTCATTGCCTGAGGATTGATTTCGAGATAATCGCGGCGTATGTAGCATGTATGGCTACGTTTTGGTGGCCTGTGAGGGGTAAACGCTTTACCGTGCTACTGATGATAGGGAGTCTCTTTTCAATTTTAATTTTCGTACGGATAGTTCAGAGTCTCTCATGAGATATTGCATGATTGGACTGTTATTGAGAAGGTTTGGGTAATTTGTTCAAGTTGTTGTTTGATTTTGGCTTATTGGATTTGCTTTTGTTTTTAATCATCAGCATTTCGAGCCTGCAGAAGTTGGAATACTGGCCATATGCTTTTGCATGCCACTTGTTTCGATTCGAGTTGGCAAGATAGACAAGCAAGGGACTCTTCTTTGCCCCACATCAAAAAAGTTAAATGAAGTTATGATCTGTATCGGTTTTTCGGATTCTTGTATGTGAATTGTCTGTTGGCTTGTGAGCAGCTTAGTTTGGTTTCTGCTGATGAGTTGCCAATGTTTTCCGGTAATATACATAGTTCAGCTGCAGACTAATTTTATCAGTGGTGCTCATTGGTTTACTATTATAATTTTGTTTGTTATCAAGTGATTTTCCTTTACGTTTCTCAGTTGCTATATGGATGCTTATAATTTTTGGAAGTTTAACAAGCTTTAGAATTGGCTTTATTAGGAGTTGTATTGTTTATGTTCTGATCTGTCGCATTGAAGTGGCGCATTTTCTGTCTTGTATCTTGTTCCCTTCATCTGGATTGTAGTTCTTGTAAGCTTTCATTTTGTAGTGCGAGTGCGTACTATGTGTTTTGATTGAGCATTTGTTAGTTTTGTGTTTAGAGAACGGTTCTTCGTACGATTTTTCTACAATGTTTAAGGAGGAGTATGCTTGCTGTTTTTCTGTTCCTAGAGTTCCTTATCCTCATTATTTCAAATTTGCTAGTTTTTATTTCAAACTGTTACGTCTTTTGGTTCTTATTACAGCTAGCTATGTGATGCTAATTGTGGGCACCTCATCAGGAGATCATGTTGTCAGTCTTCTTTGCAAGCAGCCAGTTTAAAATATTCTAGATGAAAGTATTTGACACATATTGATATACCAGTAAGTTTGTGTAAAGTAAATGTCAGATGCTGGACCGTAACAGTTTTTTGTTTTCTGATGTAGTTCTCTTCTTGTTGGAATTTTTTTGGATACATATGGATATAGGTATTGATGGCAGTAATATTGGCTGATGGACAGTAGTTTATGTTTACCCTACTATTTTCTTTCTTCATAATGGGAGATTTACCCTCTTGACAGTTATGTCATAGCATCAGAGTCTTCGAATTGAGCAGTTCTTGAATGTCGTTTGTGAGATTATTTTCCAAGAAATGGTGGATATTACTTGAATAATATCAACTTTGCATATAGTCCATGATATCACTGGAAATAATCTTAAGTTGAGGATTTAATGTTGTAGCTTCTTGTTGGTATCCATGTTCATTCTTCCCAATAAATATGTCTTTTGACTTGTAGGTGAATTGGGCGTATCTTATTAG